GGTGGAAGCGGAGCCACGCCGGATGGGGCTCGCTTAGTCCGTACCCCCCGCACCGGGCAGGGGACGCAAGGCACAGCATGAGCTCCCCACGCTCTCCCTCCAGCTTTGCCGCTCTCCAGCCTCTTGCTTTTTGGAGAATGGGTGCCCAGAGGCCAGTGCATTGGGCGGGCATGCGCAGGTGCACACGCAAACGTCCGTGGGGCGGGGGAGGATAGCAACGTCCTGAGGGCAGCAGGTCCACCACCAAGTTGGGATCACCGGGGCCCCGCTAATAAGCGTAAGGAGCGAATGAAATCAAATGTCGCTCACCAGAATAACGCCGCCACCTCCTCCTTCACCAGTCTGAGCCCCACCAGACTCCTTGCGGGTACGGAGGCTTTGGCGCAGCTGTGCCTAGACAAGAGGAGGACGGGCTCGGCGCTTGTCAAGCCACCTCAGCTCCTCACAGAGGAAAAGCTTTCTGCCAAAATGCCAGCTGCGACGCTGCCCTATCTGCTGACCCAGGCTGGGGCTTTCACACGGTGAATCTGCTGCTGCGACATTAGTGGGACAAAATGCCCATTTCCTTGAGAAGAGGAAATCTCAATTTCCCATCTCTATTATGGGCGAGACGAGCGCTGCAGGAAGGTGTCTAATCAAGGGGGCTTCGCTGTGTGTCATGCAGCAGACCAGCCTCTGCTGGCTAGTGCCCTTCCCTAGGCATGCGGCGCGGCCACCGAGGCCGTGCTTGCCTGTGCAAGCCGCTGCGTGCCCCCCTGAGCCAAGGTGAGGGGCGACGCAGCGGGAGAAGGAGCAGAAGACGTCCGCAGGTTGCTGACGTTAAAGCAGCCAGGAGGACCCTGAGGCAGAGGGCGATGGTCACGCAGATCAGACCCGTGCATTTCATCTCAGGTGTCTTCAAAGTCTTGCACGGCTCCAGAGAGGTGCCCAGATCCGGGAAGATTTCTAGTAAGGGGGTCCGGTCCCTCGGCGCAGAGCTCTCCAAAGTCTTTCGGACCGCCTGGGATGAGGACGGCCGTGGGCAAGAGCCCTGGAGGTTTCCAGGGAAGGCCTATAGACGATTCTGGATCTTCCCTGGTACAGACCAAAGGAACGTGGATTCTTCACGCTATACGTTGAAAAATCAACTTACGGCACTAAAGAAAAAGGTGATAAACCTAGATGCTAATCTTTACATCAGTTAGGTCACTCTATGCCTGGAGCTCATTTGCCTTGCAAATACTCTATTGTTACATGCCGGGTCCCTCCCTACTCACTTAAATGACTAACTCCACCCCAAAAAAGAAGAACTTTTGCTGAAACTGCTGGAGGAGAGACAGATCCTGCCCCTGAAACCATGGGGCCTGTCAGCTACTCATCAGAGACCTATGACTTGGTGAGTTGGGCCTGGCTTTGCTTGTTTGAGAGGCTAACAGGGAGAGCAGGTACAGCTGGGGTGGGCTGAAAGACCTGGTTTCTATTTGTCCGTCATCTCCCCTCCCATTGGCAGGGGGAGAGCTTGAACGATTTCTTATGCCGGCACAATCAGCCCTCGCATCCCTTAAGTCTGGACTTGACCGACGAAGGGACTGCAGGCGACAGCGCTGCAACTCGCAGAGAGCCAGCGTAACGGGGCTGCAGCCGCTATGATCCAAGGGTGCCAGGTATTCCCTTGGGCACAGCTGCCTAACTACTGGGACCTTGCACGCCGACGTTCCAGCGAGCGCCGAGCCCGAGCGCCGTCCTTGCACGGATGGGGACCGAGACCACAGTCGCTGCCGAAGGGCTGGGCGGCTCGCTGGGAGAGCCGGGCTGCTGCAGCCCTGTCCCACGCTGCCAGCCCGTCCCGGTCTCTGTTCCCTGCTGCCCTGCTCTCTGCGCAGCCATCGACACAGTGTGGGTGTAAAACGCTCGTTCTGAGTCGGGCGCCTTTTGCAGCAGCCTTCGGCGGTATAAATGACTGTGCACACAGCGTGCAAAGCCCTGGACATCTCTCATCTAGTGTCTTTACATAACAGGAATACCCAAGCAAATGCAATGCTGTCTGTCCGCCTGTGAAAACCCTTGGTACGGCTATACATGCTCCTAGCCCTGCTTGCCTTCTCCACAAACAGGCGGCTGTAGACTCTGCTGAAAGGGGAATATGCAGTGTATTTTCAAGAGGGGAATTTTAAAGAGGGGAAGATAAATTGCAAGTACTTCTTCTAATAGGGAGCGATGACACTGTGTATTCTACCCATAGTTCTCTCCCCTGCGTTTGCAAGTGAAAGAAAGCAGCTGCACCTTAGAGTATCTTGTGCTATCCAAGGGGAAGTCCACAGCAGTGCTATCATTAGCTTGGTTTTCAAATGTTGCAGCTCAGAATTTATTTTTTAATACAGTGGCTCTCTGCAGCAGACCTCAGTTTTTGTTTAGTTTCTCTAAAGAGAGATATGCTGGATTGAATTTTTACCAATTTTTCCGTCCCTCCTTTGTCCAATACACCAGGGAAGAGAGAGAGGAGATGTCGGGGGCAAGCCCTACCCTCCTTATTTTTAATATTCATCCAGTATAAAAATCCTTTGCGAACGGTGGTTGTTTCCTTTAGAGCTTTTTTGCAGAAGACACTTCTCTTCCTGACCTCTGCTGAAGTTCAGGGGCAGCGCTAACGCTGGCTGAGAGGTTAAAACCAAACTCTCCATTAGAAATCTGTCCCACAACCAGAAAACCAGCGAAGCTGAAGCGTGCCGGCTGCCTGCCCGCAGCGTGTCACGCGCTATAAGCAAGCGGCTGCTTGTGACAAAACTGCGTCGCTTTTAACGCAGGGGGATTAAGTAGCGCTGGGATTTGTTCTTTGTACGCAATACTTTCCAAAACCTAAGCTTAGCGATTTTACCTCTGCCATGAATTGTTCTAAGTTACTTGCAGCAGCAACCTACCCACAGAGATTTGCAACAAAAAAAAAAAGCCTCAACAGTGTCAAAGCGGCGACACAAACCTCGCCCCATGCGCTCACCAGGGAGGATCGCTTGACCGATTGAGCAAGCGTGGAAGGAAAAAATGAGATGAGAACATTTGCACCGAAAGGGCATTTATCTCAGTATTGCCCACTGAGTGCAGCAAGGGCCTAACCTGAACTTTGATACCGTATGGGACCACTCGTCTCTGTAACCTTGGGGAAAAGTCACGTGCCCAAAACGATAACCCCCTTTCTCCATAGCAATACAGCTTTGCCCGCTTAACCTTCCTCAGCTGCAGGCTAGAGAAACAAAGACACGGTCGCAGAAAGACCACCGAGATCTCCACCAGGTCCCCTGAAGTGCTGCAGGCCGCTTTTCATTGTAATGGGACCAATGTGACTCAAGAGCCTTAAAGGCACCTGCGCCACAGTAACGCGGCGTTTCCACAGGCTTTGCTCTTATTTGTGGGTTTCCCTAGTTCAGCACCCAGAGAGGGGACGAGCGGAAGCTCTGTCAGTAACGTGCACCGATGCGGGCAATTTCGGTTTTAAGGCGCTGGGAATGAAACGTGCTTCTCCCAGCCCTGGCATGGGCTAGAAGGGAATGACTCGTGTGGAAAATCTCTAATAGTGCACAGGCTGCTTCTCTTCTGCAGCCAAATGTTTTGATCGCTGGCAGTTGTGGGGAACTGAGAAAAGCAGCTGACATGCAGAGACCAGAACAACTCTGAGGTGTGGGTTACAGGGGGAAAAGGGATCCCTGAACAAAGAGCGCAGAGGAACGGGCTTCCCAGGCATGCACTTGACTGCTCGGTTACAGACAAAAAGCACCGCTTTATCGCCCACCTGCAAATCTGGCTGCAGCTGTATTGCAGGAGACCTGTACAAAGGCCCCCCGCGCGCGCACTGTAGACTTCTCCCATCCCAGATCAGGCAGCCACCTGCTTCCAGACCTAGAAATGGGAATCACAGCAGAGTCCCCAAAAGCCCCGGCTTGTCACACTCAGTGCATCTCCTGCAGCTCTGGTCCTTGCCCTTCCTGTCTCAGCCTGGACTCTGACCTTTCATCCTCTTTATTCATCTCCAACTCATCTCTGTCCGCTCCCACCCACACTCGCTGCTCTGCTCGGAGATGCACATGAGAGGACGTCTCAAACACAGCTCAGCGCACGCTTCCCCTGCCCGTGGCGACCGGCTTCCAGTAAGAGCCCTACCTGCCATCTTATCAGCAATCAGATGGTGGCTGATAGCGGCACTCAGCCTCCGCACCTCCGGCTCGTAGTGCAAGGTGACGCTAGAAACCATTTGGCAGCCAAAGCCATTGAACACATTGGTGCAGGCTGCCCATCTGCCATCGTCGGTGGTGCCGGCGTGGCTCCAGGCAGCACTCTGACACTCCAGCCAGCAAACCCATCCGTTTCCCATCGATTCCTTTTTCCCTTTAAAGCTGGAACCCTCCAACCTCTCCCCAGTGAAGTTACCCATTCCAACACGTGTTCGCTTAGGGCTTTTCAGCACAGTCACGCGTGCATCCTGGGCAGCCAGGTTCGGTCGCTGCACCAAATTGCAAAGGTTTTTGTGTCGGGTTTGGTTTTTTTGGGGGGGGGGGGACATTCAAGGATCTGGCCCTAGCCAGCATATCACAGGTTTCTGTGCATGTTGGTAACTCCTGACACAGGGTCTGGGTACGGACTAGGCAGGAAAGATTTTCCAGCCAGGGAGAAAACACATCGGGAGGGATTTTTAAAGGCTTTTGTCTTTAGCAGCAACCTTCAGTCTCCAGAATCATACCCTAAACTGGAAAAATAATTGTTCTCTGGGAATACGAACGCTTCTCACCAAACGCTTGCAGCCCCACTGTTACGTTAGGGGAAGACAGTCACGCGTGTTTGAGGTTTTGGGCAAGGAGGACTCTCAGCCCCCGAGAGGACCGGCTCTCGCCCATTCGGGAGGAAGCACTGTGGCATCGCAGCACAGCGGCAGCACCGCTGGGTGCAGAGCCAGCGGGGAACGGCGCTGTGGCAAGACCAAGAGTAACTTGGGTCAGACCGAAGTCTGTCTGGCTCGATGCTCTTTCTGGCAGTAGCCAAAGGTAGAGGCCCAGGGAAGAGGGCAAGAGCTGGGCAAGCTTATTCCGCACTTTCCCCAAGGGCTCGCTCGCCCTCCTACCGTCCACTGCTCGGGGACCGCCTGAGCCAGCTGCCCATTCCACGCGTTCGGTAACGCTCCGTAGACTTCTCCCCCATCAACATGCCTGGGCTCCCCTTGGAGCCACGCAGGTGGTTTCAGCAGCACAGCAGTTCGGGACGACCGCTGCGATGTCACCTCTTTACCTCAGTCACGTGCGGAGGCACCCAGCGCGTTGCCTGGGGAAGGCTGCCTGAGAGAGAAGAAAGGTAAATCAGCCTTCTCTAGCTAAGCACAGCGCAGGACTCGAGGCTGGTCACCGTCATTTGGCTTGGCAGCACAGGGAGGTGGGGGGGAGCAAAAGCCTCCCAAGTGAGCTCTAAAACTGTTTAAAGCAGGGCTAGTATTTTTAGATGGGAACTTTGGCTGACAAGGGAAGGAGCAGCAGGTGCAAACGGCTACAGCTGGCAGTGAAAGGTATGAAAGCAGCAAGCAGAGACTTCCGTTGTGGTTGGCACCGAAGTCTCAGCACTGGTCTCCAGAGAGGGTGTGGGTGGGGGAGCTCGGGGTAACTGCTGCCGAGCTCTTCCCAGTTGTCACTAATTTCTCAGCTTGCCGCAAGCCTCCTGTGCCACTCTTTTTTCTGCCTGCCTGCATCCGAGCCCTTTGCTTTTGCCAACGCCCAGCTCCCGTGAGGTGCCCGAGGCCAGCCGGAGCGTGCCTCCCGTCCGGGGGCCTCATCCCGAGCGCAACTGCAGCTCTACAGCACCGGGGACTCGCGCGCGGTCTCAGCCCAAATACGGGCTGCTCACCTGGCAAGGAGCTACAGCAGGCCGAGCGCAAATCGCATCTGCGGCAGCTCCGTCACACTTTCCTTTACCGGGTATCAGCCCGGGGTCCAAGTGGTGTTTTCAGATTCCCTTTCCTGCTCTGGCTGCAATTAATTCAGAACCGCAAGGTTTACCAACAGAACAGATTTCTCTCTCCGGCATCCCTCCCCACAGCTATGGCACCAAGGCGCCGCAGAGGCGTTCCTCCAGTCGTGCTTGAACAGCTGCCCCACACCTTTCTCTGAGCGCGCGGAAAGCGATCCCAAGCACGGCTGCCGCTGTCCCCGCCTCACCTTGCTCTGTCCCAGGCAGCTCCGACGTCTCTGAGGAGGAGAGGCAGAAGGGGACAGGAGCGGTGCACATCGCTTGAGTTAGCACATCGTGCTCTGCGGCGAATCCCACCACCTTCGTACCTGACAGCAGGCAGGATGGGGACAGTCGGTATCAGAAATGGGTGGAAAGATCAGGAAAGCTGGTAGAGGAGGGTTCCGTGCCACATAAAAAAGCAAAAGCCACCGGCAGAATATGAAACCAGAAGATGAAACTGGTCATATGTCTGGGCACCAGAACACCCCCAAATACGCTAGTTAATGATTACAGGCCGAGCAGCCCTCGCTATTGGAGATCGGGACAACCCTCTCCACGTGCCGCGGCACCTCCCGGGACCCGGCACCAGCAGGGCCTGCCAGGTCATCACGCCGCAGACAGGCAGCACCTCCTCCTGACGCAGGCGGGCTGCGGGACGTGGGGATGCTTGGCTCCAGGCCTGCCAGGTGCAGCTGAGGGACTGGGTTCTCGTGTTCAGAAACTCCCCTCTAGTAACCAGACTCTCTCTGTTCCCCAGAACCAGGTGGAGGTGAGTGGTTACTATGAAGCCGAGAACACCACCCCTTCTTTGGAGGGCTACTTCTGCTTCAACCCAGACTCATCCATGGTCGGCGACCAGAGAGACCCCTTCAGAAAGGTCTTCATGCCCCTCATCTATCTGCTGATGTTTGTATTGGGGACTCTGGGCAACGCCCTGGTCCTGGTCATTTTAGAGAGGTTCAAGCGGTCTCGCACTACCACGGAAAACTTCCTCTTCCACCTCACCCTGGCCAACCTGGCACTGCTGCTCACCTTCCCCTTCAGCGTGGTGGAGAGCTTGGCCGGGTGGGTATTTGGGAAGTTCCTCTGCAAGATCCTCAGTGCTGTCCACAAGATCAATTTCTACTGCAGTAGCATGCTGCTGGGGTGCATCGCGGTGGACCGCTACCTGGCCATCGTCTATGCAATCCACACCTACCGCAAACGCAGAGCTCGCTCCATCCACCTCACCTGTATGGCTGTGTGGCTCTGCTCGCTGCTTTTGACCTTACCCGATCTCATCTTCATGGAAGTCTGGACAGATGACAGCAACCGCAGCATTTGCTATTTTCCAGAGGTTGGGATCGATGGCAACAACGTCTGGCTGGCGACCCGCTTCCTCTACCACACCGTGGGCTTCTTCGTGCCCCTACTGGTCATGTGTTACTGCTACACAGCCATCGTCCGGGCTCTATGTCAGTCCCAGCGCCTGCAGAGGCAAAAAGCTGTCCGCGTGGCCATCCTGGTCACGGGCGTCTTCCTGCTCTGCTGGAGCCCGTACCACATCGTCATCTTCCTGAACACGCTGACCAAGCTAGAAACCTTCACCAAGAACTGCGTCCTGGAAGACCAGCTGGACACGGCCATCATGGTGACAGAGGCCATCGGCTTCACACACTGCTGCCTCAACCCCATCCTCTACGCCTTCATTGGAGTCAAGTTCCGTAATGACTTCTTCCGGATCCTGCAGGAGCTTGGCTGCATAAGCCAGGAGACCCTGCAGGAGATCCTGGAGGTGACGAGGAAGGGCAGCGGGATCGAGTCTGACAACACCACCTCTATCTCCACGTTCTAGCTGGGAAAGGCTGCCTGCAGGGCAGAACCGTCCTGGGGCTGGCCTTCCCAGTGGCACGTGTGCTGTGGCCTCAGTCCCAAGTTTCACAAGCGTCCCCACCACTTTCTATACTCCGCAGAAAACCGAGGTCCAGTAGCCACCAAACACCCAAATCCCACCAGGTACCTTCCCTGGCTCCTTCTGGTTCTCACACCTGTAGAAATCCATCTGGCAGCTGTTGGCTGTCCTACGGTCACTTCGGCAGGGCCGGATGAACCTGAGCACGTTAAACCTGACGTTTCCACCTCTCCCTTGAAAGACTGACTGCAGGCGTCCTGCGCACGGAGTCAGGCATGAGACTGGGGTGCCGGGGGCGAGAAAAAAAGCGCAGCCAAGTAAACGTGGAGTTGTGTCAGTGAGCGAGGGCTGAGGACAAAAGCTAAGCAGGTCTCCGTTTCACCGACTCAGGTCGGTAGAGACGTGCCCAGAGGAAGCAGCAGGACTCAAGGGCCGCGGCAGCTGGAACGAAAGAGGCAGGTAGGACCGGCGGGAGATGCAGGGCTCGCTCCAATAGCAAGGGCACACGGTGCGGAACGGTCTCTGGCTGCAGTATTGCTCCTCCTGCTGCGTGACATCCCCCCGGCCAGCCACGGCACGTCAATTTTCCCAATTTGGCTCGCGCCAGGAGGTCCTGCCATGGACTCAGAGATTTGACTGTTGCAGATTCCTTTCCCGACATCAACCGCATCCTTTCCCACTCACTTCATGTGTTTTACTGCTGTTAAGAGCTCCAGTGAGTGACTGCTGAACTAAATGCCTGACTACGCAAAAGCTTTCCTTTATGGAAGAAAGCTGGCCGGAGAGACGTCTTCTATCTTGACTGAGCACAGGGGAGATGACCCACATGGCTTTGTGAGGCTGAACGTGTAAAATTTTTTTTTTTTTTTTTTTTTACAGCTAGGTGTACAGTACTTTGTGGGTTCTGAGAGCAAGGAGACCCATTGCCCCCGAGTAAGGAAAAGAGCTCCTCTGCGTAATTTCTGTTTGCTTTTAGCAGGCTGAGAGGGGACATAGTGTTTTGTTTTGCGCTGCCGTTTCCTGATATTTTTGCTCCACCTGCATCTACGGGGCTTTCAGAGGTTTAGTGCATCCAGCTTTGCACAGAGCAAACCTGGGCGCTGATCTTGCCACGAATATCCAGCAACTGCTTAGATCAGGGCTGCTTGATAACAATTTGGCCCAAAATAAGAGCGGCAGCTTTCACCATAATTAATAATTGCACCGCAAGCTGGCGCGCGGGGCAGCCCTAACAGACTCGTGCAGCCTGCTGCTTCCTAGTAGGTCTTGTCACAGTATAACATCGCAGTGCATGCACAGCATCGCTCCGTGACATTTCTCTTGCTAGCTAAGCAGTGCTGTGGCCTGAACTGTACAAGAGCCGTATGTACCAACTGTCACACGAGCACGACCCTAATCATGAGCACGCTTTAAAATCCACTCTACCGTTCACCTTGCTTTTAAAGCAAAGAACATCGTCAGTTCTCCTGCTGCAGCAGCAATTTTGTGCTAAACTCGCTTCTGAAGTTCAACCTGCTAACAAAGGGCTTGCTTGCAGCCAAACTTCACCATACCCAAGGGCCCCACTAAAGAGACCAGTCATTACAGAAGGGGTCACGTCACGCCAGTCCGGCTCAGGCAGAGAGCTCAACAGCTCGTTCTCAAATTGTGACTCGAGGAGAAAACTCCCCAAGCAAGGCTCTTTATACAAAGTGCGGTCCACCATTTCCTGCAGCGCTGCATCTTCAAAGCTGAAACCTGCAGGTAATGGCGACCGTGGTTGTCCAAGCACGTACGCGCAGCAGAGGAAGCGCCGCTCTCTGAAGCCTGCCCTTGTTATCTCCACGGTTGTACTGGTGAGCAAATCCGTTGCAGATGCATCATAAACACCTCCCCAACCCCAGTTCTGATGGGAACCGTGTTCCTACACAAAAACGTTAAGAGTGTAAAATTCTTAGCGTTCACAAGGTAAAAAGAAAATCTGAACGCAAAATAAGGGTGAACAGATTACGCATCTATTGTTACTATAGTTTTTAGTACTGTTATGTTGGTAAACTTTTAGAAAGTTTTGACGTGAGCTGTAATAAACAGTTAAATAAAATACAGTCTTCTCATACATAGGGCTTGCAAACAGTTGTCTGCAGTGGTGTTACTTTTGCAAGGGAAATGCATCAGAGCGCGCTAAGAGTGTCGATGGCACCTTTCTGACAAGCGTTGCTGTTTGCACGTGGAGACCATAGGGTTTGTAAGAGCACCTTGCTCAGACTTCCCTTCACCAGTGCTGCAGAAGGCTCCGCTGCGTTTGGAGTCGGTCCAGACCTATGTTAGCTCCCGGCTTCAAAGAGCCTCTTCCACCAACTGCAGGACCTCCTGTCCCGGTTTTACAGCAGCTGCTAACCTGAGTGGAAAGCCACCCTTGCACCCGCGTGTGGCTCAGCCTAGCCTGCGGAAGGCTTGGCTTGGAGCTGGCAGACCCTTCCCCAAAGAGCAGGCGTTGCTCCTCCTGCAGCTGACTGCAGCCAGCCTTGCTGAATGGCAGTGAGAAGAAAGCAAGAGGAACTCTCCTTCACCGCAGAGGAAGCTGGGCTTTCCACTCAGTGAAATCCTCCCCGTCTCCCCGAGGTCTGCGTGGCCGTCACATGCCTTGGCCCAGAGTGGGCTTCCCGGTAAGCGCTCACGCTGCCAGAGCCGCCCCCGGACACTGCAGCCCTCAGGCAGACTTTCAGGCTCCCCCGTGGAGCCCTGCTCGGCTCCCAGCCCACTGCTACCAAGTGGGGCGGCGGACAGGCTCCGCTCCCCCCCAGGCTGCCAGGAAGGGGGACTAAGGGCCGAGGGGAGCTCCGAGGCAGCTGCTGCAGGGAGCCAGGAGGTGGTGTGCAGGCAAGGCCACGTCACCACCATCCACAAGCGTCCACAGCGCACGCTCGTGAGACCCCGGCCCCGGGCTCTGCTCTGCAAACAAGGCTGAAGCAGACAACCCAGAGAAAGCCCTGGTCCCTGCTGAAGGCAACCCCAAAGAAGGGGACACAAAGACCCCCACAACAGCATGCTGCTCTGCATGTCCCACAGGGTGAACGAGTTCTCCCAGGAGACAGAGCTGGGGTGTTTCAGCAGAGCATCCTGCAACACACACGCAGCGATCACGGGGCCGTAGCAGGCAGCGGAGCGTGCACCTATGAGCACCAGCCAGGGAACGCATGAATGAATGCGTGCCTGGGAGCGCTGCAGAGAAGGGGCTCTCCCCATGCCCTCGCACCCCTCCTAGCAGCTCTAGCACCCCCTGCCCTGCTGTGACTCACGCACAGTTTCATTTTCCTTATCAAGAAGCGGACCTGCTTCTTCACCCCAATCTCCCAGAACCAAACAGATGCTCAAGCTCTTCAGTATCTGTACTGCTGCCTGCCATGTCTTCCTTATTTTGAGCATAGGTGGGCTCTGGATGTACAACAGCACGGCCACCGAGGCCCGTGAGCTTGGGCCCTGGGCACCATGCCACATGCACCGCCCCGGCTCTGCGTACAGCCCGCTCCCGCCCCAGCGTTCTCCTCAGTCGCTCTGGCTCCCCAAAAACACGCGGCAGCTATGGCACACGTGAGCTTTGCCGGGCCGCGAGATACCCAGAAGAAGGGGGAACCGTGGGGCTCCAGGCACCAGCGGACAGCTTGGGCAGCAAGCCCCTGCTCTAGGTCACCTCTCCACCTTGCAGTCCTGCCAGAGACTGGAGGTGACCAGGGTGGCCCTGCCTGCTCCACCCCCCCACCACC